ACCCTATTATCACTGATCTTTAGAACTTTAGTTAGAAACAACAGCAGTAAGTTAGTCCAGGCTTCCCGATGACTTTCTGATGTTAGAGTAAGGAAGTAACTTAGTGCTTCACTACAGACACTGCAAAAAAAAAAAAAAAAAAAGGTTTACTTTTATGTATTTTCCAAACCTGCGGGTCCACGGGCTCACTGAGAAAGAAAACACGAAGATGGTAGGGATTATTAACTATTAATGACCTTGCAAGACCCTTATCTGTTTGTATTAACTGGAATGTCAACATTAGCATTTACATGTTTTTAAAATTAGAAAGAAAACCAAAACAAAGAAGCCACTGCAGTATCTCAGGAAACCCACATTTTCTTATTTTCTGTTTCAATGAATGTAAAGCCCAGTGTGATAGTACAAGCACAAGCCTGGTGTCAATGAACTGGGCTAAATGTTGGGTGGCTCTTTCCTTCACTGATTAGGCCTCAGTCCTTCTGGATCTGAACAGTCTTTGTCAATAAAATGGAAGAACGGAGACTAGGTGATTTCTTAAAATTCTAAAATGTATTTAACTGGTTTCTAAAATATTTTTTTAAAAAGGCAGGTGACACTATTCTTTGTATATAACATGTTTCATTCTTAGAGTAAGTTTAAATTTTAGTTGTCATGAAGTAAAACAGCATGAAAGAAAATAGCACTAGAAACTCCAAATATTTTTTTAAACTAAATGCAGGAAGGCAGGTGGGTGAATACTCACTTTTTCTTTAAAAATTGGCTATCTTACAGCATTAGAAAGACCAAAGAAACTATATCATTGTTTGAAGTTTCTAAATAACTACTGGGCATGATAGTGTATAACTGTAATACCTTCTGGAAGGCTGAGATAGGAGGATCACAATTCAATACCAGCCTGAGCAAGTTAGTGAGACCCTGTTTCAAAAAATGTCTAGTGATGCAGTTTATTGTGAAGGTCCTGAGTTTAACTCCCAGTACCAAAAAGCAAAAAAAGAAAAAAGCAAACTTCTTCCTTCACCCTGTATATCAGACCCAATATGTTCATGTTACTAACTGTACAAAGCACATTAACTTTATCCAGGCCTAGTGGTGTTCCTTTGAAATTCCACCTACTTCAGAGGCTGAAGTGGAAGATCACAGGATCACTTGTGCCCAGGAATTTGAGGCCAGTCTGGACAACGTAGCATGATGATACTATCTCAAAAAACTGATGAAGTAGGGGCTTCTAGGTCCCAAAGGCTCAGCTACCTGCTATTAACTCTTTCTGCACTGTACTATGCAGCTGCATGGATCAAAGGCAGAAATTACTTGAAAGTCTTACTTTAGAAGCCTCTGCTGGACCTCTTCCCAGGCACCAACCCGACTTTCATCCATGTACATCCGGAAAAGAATGCGCAGTCCACAGGCCAGGCTGCTCGTCTCCTGCTTCAGGAGGTTGGGCTTGGACTTGCCTTTGAAGCCTGCAGGACGGGCAAGTTTCCAGGATTAGACTGACAAGGCATTTTAAAATGAAAATGAAAGCCTTTTGGGGGACACATTTTGTATGTGTGTAGCCACTGGCACTGGCTGGCTACAAATTTAAGCTGCCCTGCGCCACACGTATCTGATATATTTTAACTTGAGGCCTGGGAAAGTGGAACCTCTCAAGTGAGTTACACCAAAAGCCTACAGACAATGCTGCTCTGCCTATGCCAGGGGTCCCATATGAATGAGGGTGGGTACTTGAAACTGCCAGAGGTATGAAGGGAGCAGTGCCTGTGGAAACAAGGAGCCCAATCACTTTTACACAAATGGTCTCAGTCGACTGGTACCAAAAGTAAGCAGTCTGTTCCAAAACTTAGGTTGTAAAAGGGAAAGGAAAAGCCATTCTAGATTAAAGACAATAAACAAACATAAAAGAACTACCACTCAAATATAGAATTTGATGTCATATAAACATCAGCTTTTTTTCCTCCATATTCTGCTGCCCTTCATTTTCCCAGTCCTATTTTGCACCTGCCACCGGATAACTGTTTCTTAAATAAAAATAATGTTTCTGTAATTTATATAGAGCTTACTTTTAAATTTGCCAACTAGTTTTAAAACAAACTTTGACAACCCAGTACATGCACTTCTATTCTGAATACTGTCAGGCATTCAAAAGTCATTCAAATATGTATGTCCGATTTCCTGTGCAGGAAGCTTCACATATATTTTTTTCTATTATGTTTATAAAAATGAAAAGACTGGGTAAACAAGAGGAAAGAACTAGTCACGTAGGTCAACAGGCAAACTAACAAGGAGGAACTGAAATCAGTTACCCCAGCTAGTTATTTGGCTTACTGTTGGCCAAAAAAAACTGACTGTTAGATTACATTATATCAATAGACCCGAAGTGCACAATCAATGCACTCTGATAAATGTACCCATCTGTAGTGCACCCATTCATAGCAAACAGTACGAGATGGCCAGAGCAGCTTACCTGCTTTCCACAAAGCAGTCCTCTGTTCGTTGTTGGAATTAAATGCTTTTGCAAATCTATGTGATTCTAATAAACAGTCCAGTAGTTTAAAAAGTTGTTGTGATGTCAGAAAACGGTACATTCCTTGGTCTTGAGTATCAACTCTAACATCAAAATCCACTGCATCTCTCTTTGGAAAACAAACCACCACAGAAGACACAAAGTCACCACAACTTTGGTAAATTTAAAAACCAATGCTCCCCCAAAGACCAGTTTTACAAGCAAGCCACAGACAATCTGCTGTAGCTTAACAGAAAGTAGGGAAGGTCTGCTCTCTGTTATTGTTACGTATTCTGGTCATCAAGTGCCCCTCCTGCAGCCCCAGGCACCTTCCTGAATCCCTGACTGAAAGCTTTGTCCTTCCAGGCCCTGCAGTCAGTGGCCACCCATACCCTCACGGTGTCTCAGCCTCTTTGGTTCTCCCTTTCTCTTTGGAGTTCCTGGACCATTTAATTATTATTATTTTTTTGCATGATCCCTCATCTCCACTTTTCAGTAACTGGTTGGCAGAACTCTGGCTACTTCATGACTACAGAAAATCAACAAGATGGAAGCAAGCAGAAGGGCTTCTCTTTAAACTCAGTGGGCTTGAGATTCCAGCATTCCTCCATTGTTTCCCTGTCCATGTTTCCTGATGGCTAGCTCATGCATTAAGTTCTCAACCTAAAGGATTCTTCCCAACTTCACATGATGGATGACTTTTTTCCCATCTCCATCAGAAGCCTGAAGAGATTTTCTACAAAACCCTACCCACAAATGTACTGAACTTTTTCCATCTGGATCGTATACCTTTTGTCTTCCCTTTCACTGACTGGGTGGTAGCCCCGGACAATGTCCATTCTGCATGAGATAATAGCCCTAACCACTTAGAAATACTGTTCTAGCAAGTGCCCCCAGCCTCCCTCCTGTTTTTTTCCTCTACTGGATATCTGTCACTGGTGAACCTATTGTCATTTTGCCAATTTGTAAAACAAAATAAGGCAAACCCCTTATTCTTCTCTAGTCATCATCCCCATTTTTTGGTATCTCCTTATGGCAACCTAGGACAGAGTTAACACAATTTACTCTCTCCAATTCCTCCCCTGTACGCATTATAACTATACTTTTATCTTTAGTATTAAAACTAAACATACTATCTTCCAAATTGTTATAGGACAGTTCTCACATTAAAGATGCAATATGCACGAACTATCCAGTGTATATGATCTCATCTTTAGGACATGTTCTTTTCCTTCCTTTTTATTTTTTGGTTTTTTGAAACAGGGTCTCACTATGTAGTTGAGACTGACCTGGAACTCACTAGGTAGCCCAGGCTGGTCTCGAACTCACAGTGATCCTCCTGCCTCAGCCTCCAGAGTGCTGGGATTATAGGTGTGTGCCACCATGCCTGGCTAGGACATTTTCTTTATTTGACTTCCAGGGCAACATTTTGCTCTTTCCTATGCTCATTCTGTCTCCACCAGGAGTTATATAGAAGGTGGCCACTAGGACCCAGTCCCTGACGGTCCTCTCTTCTGTGGCAGTACTATCTCAAGATGTAATCTAGTTTCACAGTTCAAAGTAACATCTAAGTGATGAAGCTCTGCACATGCACTCTCCAGCCTGACCTCTCTGCTGAAGCCCATGTTATTACAGCTAACTTTGTACTCAAACAGAAAAGAAATCCTCCCATCTCCCTACCTGGGCTGCAGCTAAGTTTTCCGCATCTTCCTTCTTACTTGTGGCTGGGAAGAACACGATGTTGTCGATGGTCTGAATGAGTTCCAGCTGCACAACACATTTAATCAACAGGGCAGCAAACAATTTTTGTTCTGGAAATTCTGTGAGGAAACCCCCCCCAATGCACATGCAAACAAAACATTATTTTGAATCCTTTATAATTTCTATGACATTACAATGCTAAGGTAACATTAATATGTATGAGGATAACCTGCACATAGCACACTGAGAAGGACGTAATGCTTCTGTAGATAGGTACTACTGGCTAAGAGTTTAATCAATATTTAGAAAAGTGTTTACAGTGAATATATGCAAGTTGACTACTACCAATTTTTAAATGAGATTCAGGTTATTCTTGAAGTAAATGTAATGAATAAAAAACTAAAACTTAAATAGCATTTGCTGTAAAAACCCAAGTTTAACTGTTGAAAATAGTATAAAAACCTGTACCAGTGATGGCGAACCTTTTAGAGTTTTCAATGATACAAACAGCCTGCGGTGGTACTCATGTCATAGGTTTGCCACCACTGCCCTATACCATAAGAAAACAACAGGAACCAGATCTACATGAGAAAAGAAGTGAGATAGTTAAGGATTTTATCAAACTTTGCAATTTTGTGGTTTAGCTTTGGGTGAGTTTTTATTTGGGCCTAGATTACTACTTGTTACTAAAATTACCTATTTTCAAATGGATTCAACAGCAAAGATGTTATAGCAAGTTATGCTAAACACATTACTATAAAAAGAATAAAAGTAACAAAAATGCTCCCCATTCTGTCTTCCTCTACTCGGTTGTATCAGCTACATTCCTCTATCCTGAATAAATATGCTCAACAGGGCAGTTCTGACACCCACCAGCCCGTAAGGACAACTTCAAAGAAGAATGTTTCACGACAAGAAAGAAAGAGCACTTGGCCGCAGAGCTGCTGTGAATGCTTGGCAGCAGACATGTGGCTTTGGTAGTGGGTGAGAGGGCCCAGATATCAAGGCTGCACTTAGATCATGGGATCTTAAGGGCAGGTTTCTAGAGCAGGTGGCTGCCCAGGAGTAGCTGGCCTGTTAAAGTCTTGGGACAATGACTCCAGCACTGGATGACTACATTTGCCCCACTTCTTTCTACTAGAAAAGGCATTTCATTACAAATGTCCTTTTCTGGACCAAGTTATGGAAGTTAAATTTATTCTGAGACTACCTTATCCTTTCTAGATAATTTTCAGCAAAGTGCTTCAAATGTCTTCTCTGTCATTCTTTACTATAGTCACAGCTGACACAGTAGATTCACTCACTCCTTTCAAGTCACAAAAATACCTCTGTCTCTGGGGCAGAGAATCCTAGTAGCATGTAGACTCCAGATGGAACTTAGTGGTAGACAGATGTCTAAAGAGATGTCATACTATTAGTTCCAATGTGAGTGACTTACATTAAGAGAACTTTCATCAGCATCCAGACATTCCAAGTGACTGAGCTTGGTAGACAAACAAGCCCTGTGACTAAACTAGGAAGTTGTGCCTCTCACACTTTCTGGTGCCCTTTACGCACTGCTGATGAACCTAACTACAATACCACTGGCAAAGACCAGCTGTATGGGGGACAAAATATATTCGGGCAAATTTTATTCATGACAAAGCTTGATAATGTCAAGGTTTTATTAGGCAACCATCTCACCAAGTCATCATAGGAGAGGGAGCAAAATTAAGATTTCAACTATGTGGGACTGTACATACCAAATCAAGACTAGATGGAGTGCTGGTGTTTTCTCAAAGTGTACGGAGAGAGTGAGGCAGGTAGCCTTCAGACAAGTGAAGTAAAGATACATTTCCTGCTAAGCCAGGTGAAAACTTTCTCATGTGTGATGATCAAATCAGACAAAGCTAAGTATATTTAGTTCAGTCTTGGAGCTAAAGGATAGAGAAGCCACTCTTGTCCTCACAGCATTTTCCAGTCAGACTGAAGCTGCAAAGGGTTTTTCTATGAGCCATTCTGTTCTCTAGAGAACAAGAATGAAAAAGGGGAAATGGATCACTCACCACACCTATCTCCCCTTTAAGGAGCTAGCAAGATATAGCAACTGAAGCTAGAGGCAGTTTCCAAGTGGGATACCAAAGACTGTTGTCTCTCAACCACAACTGTAAGCATTCAGGATTAATAAAAACTCCCCTGAAAAAAAAAATTAAATCAAAATGGATCAATGACCTAAATATAAGAGTTAAAACTCCTATTAAGCATAAAACTCTCAGGAGAAAACATTGGGGGAAATCTTCATGATCTTGAATCTACTAATGAAGTCTTAGTTGGCACCAAAAGCATGACCAATAAAAGATAAGTTAGAGCTCATCAAAATTAAAAACTTGTGTGCACCAGTGGATATTGTCAAGAAATTGAAAAGATGACCTAGAAAGGGGAGAAAACAAATATCTGCAAATAATATATCTAATAAGGGTTTAGTATATAGAATATGTGACAATTCAATAAAAAGACAAACTCAGTTAACAAAGGGCAAAGGAAATTTCTCCAAAGAGATACAAATGGCCAATGAACACATCAAATTATGCTGAACATGACTAATTACTATAGAAATGCAAATCAAAACCAAAACAAGGTACCACTTAATATCCACTAGGAAGGCTATCATTCAAAAATAAAAAGGGTGTTGGCAAAGATGTGGAAAAAATAACTGTTAGTAGAAATGTAGAATAGTACGACCACTGAAGAAAACAATTTGATCATTTCTCACAAAGCTAAACAGAATTACCATATAATTACCCAGTAATTACACTCCTACTTACATTTGCAAAATAACTGAAAATGGGTACTCAAACAATAATACTTGCATATGTTATGTTCATGGCAGCACTACTCATGACAAAGGTGGCACAAATTGAATGCCTATCAGCAGAAAAGTGCACAAATAAAATATGGCACACATACAATGAATTATTAGTAACAAAAAGAATGAATTACTGATCTATACTGCTATAAAGTGAATCTTAAAAACATTATGCCAAAAGAGGCCAGATACAAAAGGCTGTATGTATGGTTATATTTATATAAAATATATAGAATAGCTTATTCATAAACACAGAAAGCAAAATGGTGGGTGCCAGGGGCCGGGGAAAGGAAGAAGAAGGAGTGGCTGGTTATACAAACGGTTATGGGGTTTCCTTTGTGGGGTGATAAAATGCTCTGGAGCCAGGTGAGGTGTGCATGCCTGTAATCCCAGCACCTGGAAGACCGAGGCAGGAGCATTTCAGTGATTTCAAGGCCGGCCTGAACTAGTTAAGTAAGACCCTATCTCCAAAAATCCTAAAGAAAAAAATGTGTTGGAATTATAGCTGATGGTTATACAAGTACTCTGAAGGTACTAACTGCTACTCAATCATTTACTTTAAAATAGTGTTCTGTGAATTTAACTTTTTTTTTTTTTTTTTTTTTTTGGTATGGAGATTGAACTCAGGATCTTGTGCTTGCCGGGCAAGCATGGCACAGCTGAACTACACTGGTCAACTTTAATTTTTAAAGTGTTTGAAGCTATCTTGTTCTCTTCTATGGAGGCAGTAGTTTTTTTCCTAGGTGTTATTTTCTTTAAGCTAATGAAACTGAACCAGTTTTGTAAAAAAGGGATTCCATTTTTGGAAAAAAAACCCAAAAAACCAAAATGAGGACTAAAAATGGCTCGCTCAGGGCTCTCTCCGAGGATATGTGAGTGGGCAGCAATGTGGCAAGGCTTGCTCCTTCAGGGTGGGTTTCCTGCCTAGAGAGCAAGGCTCCCTCACTATGTCCCTCGCAGATGGGAAGAAGGCATACTGGCCCTACCTTTGCAGACAGAAACTGGGGCTGACGCAAAGGGGATGGAGTAGGAACACCCATGTGTTCAGCACAAACAGTAGCCAAATGCATCATGGAAAAGGCTGACATTGAAGGAGTTAGAGCATTACCTCTCAGGAGATGTTCAAGTTGGGGTAGACACAGTAAAGAGACGACTATACTATTGATTATAGCATATTCTTGTTAATAATAAAAGGAAAACCCAAAATGGTATTCCTTACCTACACAAAATACACCATTTTTATTTATAGAAACAACTCACTTGCAGTAGATTTAAGTTTGCTGACTTCTTCATTCACAGTAGAGAGGGAAACCAATGGTACTTGCTGTCTATTATCTGCAGATCTGGGTTGAAAAGAATCATGTATATCTACAGATTTCTGTGATATCGTATCCTAATAAAATAAAAAATTTATTGTTAAAAATTCATTTTTAAACATGTTGAAGGGATGAAAACATTTTCTATTATACTGTTCTAAAAAATCATAATCTCTATGAAAGTGATAACTTATACATTATCTAAATATGGAAAAGCTTTTTTTGACCCTCATGGAGCTAAGGCATGATATAATAGCAATAAAGTGTTAAGCTGTACTGCATGGAAAAAGTGGTCAGAAATACCCATGGGTATTCACAATACCTAGACAAAATACCTATTTGTCACCATTGGCGGTAAATGACAAGAGCTTTCTGTAGCTTCAGTCCAGGAAAGCTATGCAAGGAGTTTAGAGAAGGTTCTTCTGTCACCCAAGAAAGCAGGGATCACAGAGGTCAGTGTGAGAGTAACTGATTAGGTACGCAGTGTTATAAAGGAGAAGGGAGCAGTAGAGTCCACACACCCACATGAGCATCTGGGTCCACCATTATTAAAAAGCAGAATCTTAGCAAAATGATTCATCTCTTGAAGCTGGTCTGAAAACAGAAGACTCTCCCTGTAGATTAAGAATTAAATGCACTAGCGGAGAATCAGACAGTTAAGTGGCAGCTGACACTAGTGCTATGGCTCTAACTTTATTTTGTGATGATAATACAGCATAGTCAAAGAGAAGTGCCAACTCAGTTTCAGGAGGAACACACAGCTCCTATTATTTTGAATGAGCTCAGATAGAAGTAACTTTTCCTGGTTTCATGAAACAAAGACAGGTCTATGTTCCCAGAAATAGTGATAAATCAAACTGATATTTTAACTGAAATTTTAAGCTTATGATCTTTCATTTCCAGTTTTGGATAAAATACGGAAACAGGTACCATACCTGGTCCAAAAAACCGTTGGACCAAATATAAAAAATTTAAAAACAACAAAGTACTGTACACGTCTAAAGCCATATTATTTTAATACATTTTGTGTTTAACACAGAGGAGTCTGAGTAAAATCTGTGTGGCTCCAAAATTTATCTGACCATGATAGCTTAATACACTTTTAAAATAAAAAGTTACACATAAAGAATGCTTATAGCAAAAGTTCAAAACATTATAATCCTTCAGGGAAATGTTCATTATTCCAAAGTCAGTGTGAAAAGAAGTGTCAATTTTTAACTTAGCTGGGTGTGGTGGTGCACACCTGTAATCTCAGCACTTGAGAGGCTGAGGCAGGGAGGATCACTGCAAGTTTGAGACCAGCCTGGGCTACACAGTTAATTCCAGGGAAGTCTGAACTACATATTGAGACCCTGTCTCAAAAAAAAAAAAAAAAAAAAAAAAAATTAACAGAAATTTTGATGTATTTTAAAGGAGATGTCAGAATTTAAAATGTATTGTTTTACTATAGCTAAAAAGAAGCACTGGTTTGTAAACTTTTTGGCCCCTGGCCCTTTTGAGCATCTCCCCAAAAAATCATTACATATAAGATCTAGGTCATAACATTGAGACATTAAACATTTATCTTTGTATTAGAGGGATTTAAAAATACTAGATGTATTACTTTCTCAATTTTTCTGACTAGCCAATGTAAACAAGGACACTTTTTGGTAATCTTTGTCTTTTCAGACGAGCTCTGCATCAGAAACAGTATGTCCCCATCTTTCCCTTAGAAAAAGACTGTCTAGGGAAATGCAAATCAAAACTCTATCTCACTGCAGTCAGAATATCTACCTATCATTAAGAACACAAAGAAATAACAGAGGAGAGGATGTGGGCAGAAAAAGAAACCCTTTCACAACTGTGAAAATAAGTAGAGAGGTTCCTCAAAAAAACCAAAAAATAGACCTACCATTTGATCCAGCCTTACCTCTCCTTGGTGTATAACTGAAACAATTACAGTCAGCATACTACAGGGATCCCTGCATAACCATATTTATTACTGCACAATTCCCAATAGCCAAAATATGGAACTATCCAAGGTGCCCATCACCAGATGAATGGAGTAAGAAAATATGCTATGTGTGTGTATGTATGAATGAATTATTCAGCCACAAGAACAAAATTGTCATTTGCAACAAAACGGATCTCAAGATAATCATGTTGAAATAAACCAGACTAAGAAATACAAATACAAATAATAGGGATTATGTGGAATCTAAACAAAATGACAAGAAAGTAGAAGAGAGGATATTATTACACAAGAGGAACAGAATGGGGCGAGTTTAACTGTGAGTAATGGGGGGATGAATATGAGCAAAATATATTATATATACTGAACCCCTTCAAATGTGAAACTAGGGGGGAGGCCAGGACAAGGTTAAGTGATGGGGGAACAGATCAATGTCTGCTAAATACATGTATGAATCTGCCAAAATTAAACCTATTAATCTGTATAACAAATTTTTAAAAAGGATTGTCTAGTGAGAAAAAGCTCCTATAAAAGAAATCTGTGTACTGACAGATGTGGAGATGTACTTCTATATTTTTGAGATAGTGTCTCAATGCATAGTTCAGGCTGGCCTTTAACTCACTATGTAGTGTAGGCTGGGCTTGAGCTTCGAAAATTCTCCTGCCTCAGCCTCTCCAGTGCTGGGATTGAACTTGTGAAACACCACACTTGGCTCATATGCAGGTATTTTCTAGATAGTCTAAACACAAAAAGTATCCAAAAATATTTCAAGATAAAAAAATGACAAAATAATAAATGCACAGAAACATATATATTACATATTAATACTAGAATTGGGGCTGGGGTGGGGAGGCTGTATAAAAAGGGACTAGTAGTTCTACAGTGTTTAAATATAGACACTTTTACAGTGATAGGGTATTTGGGAATGGCAATGAAAACGACACCGCAATTTATTGGCAAAATCTAAGTAGTATAGAGATGAGAAAGACAAAGAAATCAGGGTTAAAGATAAGTTGGTTAACTAAAAGTGGAAGAAGCAGTAAAGACAGCTGAGGAAAGCAGAAGGTGAGCCATGGTGCTGAGTGCTCAGAGAGACTGAGCCTGACACTAAGAGCCACCCTGTGCTTGTCAGCACTCTGGATCCAGGACCAGGCAGTCAGTGCTGCCTTTACCCAAATTGTTTAGTTTTCACCGTAAGCTTTCTCTACACAGAGGATAAGGTGCTTGCTGAAGGGCACAGAACTGGCCAGCAGAGCCAGCATTTCATTTGGGCAGACAGCAAACCCCAAATTGCAAACTCTGCCCTGCACAGCTGTGGGAGTAAATCACAAAGACATCCGTGCTTATTCTGGGCTTGTAATAGAATGTCTTAAGAAGTAGTAGAGTCTGTGATGAATGACAGCTTCAGCAGCTCAGAATCACAGAGTAAGGCAGGTCTCATAAACCAGATGTAAAAAGAAATTCAGAATGCTATTTTTTTTGTGTGATATGTACGTTTAAACTTGACAATTAGGAAATTTAAAAGTTGTACGGGGAAAATCAAGTCCATGCATATTACTTTGTTACTTACAATCTCTTGGGTTTAAAATTCCAGGACATTATTAAAAAGTAGTACAAATTTGAATAAGGCCTAAGATAAGGTATTGTTTTAATGACAATTTTCTAGTTGCTAGTTACTAAAGTTATATAAGACCCCCCCAAAGAAATACTATAAAAATTTAGGGATTAAAAGACATGCTATTTGCACATTATTAAAAAAAAATTTTTTTTTTCAGTACTGGGGATCAAACTCAGGACCTTGTGTTTGCAAGACAGGTGTGGTACCACTGAGCTAAATCCCCAGCCCTACACATTATTTTCAAAGACTTAGAAACCTCTATAGAGGGGGAAGGGAATGACACAAAACAAGAGAGAAGGAAGGAATAATAAAGTAAATGAAAAATGGTAACAGAAACTTGGTGTAACGAATGGTTAGTTTTATGGCAACTTGGCCAGGACACAGTACAAAGTCCTTATACTTAAGACAAAGGACTAACAATTCAATTCAGGTAAATGCTAACCTAGGTGGTGGTGTGAAGGCGTTTCATATATACGGTTATTATCCACTGTCAGTTGATTTAATTAAGAGATTGTTCTTCTTTTTTCTTTTTATTGAGTTTATTGGTACAATCTAGGTATACAATACAGTTACAATCACCACGGGGATCTTGCACCTTTACATGACAGGTCTTGGTTCTAATTTTTTCCTTGTCACTGCCCTCTCTTCACCCCCTTCTCCCCTCCCCATTTACAAACTCTTTATTTCCATTTTTTCATTTTCTCATACTTTCTTTTCGCTTGTTCCTTTTCCCCTACCCTTCCCACTTTCCCTACACCTTTAACCCTTTTCTTCCTATTTCACACTATTAATTATCCCATTAGGATCTTGTGTACTATTATAGTTTTTCACACCAGAGAGACTATTCGGTATTTACACATGTGTGAGTGACTTATTTATTTCACTTAAGAGATTATTCTTAATAGATAATCTGACAGGGCCTCACTGGAAAAAGCATAACTGCTGTTTTCCCGCAGAAGAAGAAAGCCCATCTGTGGACTGCAGTTTCAGCTCCTGAGTTACCAGCATGCTGGCCTGCTCTACAAATTTCAAATATGCCAACCCCCACAAGCACTTATGCCAATTCCTTGAATATCTTATGTACATCTTATTTTTTTATAGAAGTGGTTTTGGAATTGGGTAAAGAAAATGCTGGAAGAGTTTTGAGGAATACAACAGAAGCAGAGACAACGGTGAAGATATAAATGGTCATTAAATGCAATTCTGGTGAGGACTCGGAAGTGAAATGCATATTGTCTTAAGAGAATATACAGTAAAAAACAGGGTATTGATAGAAATATGAATACTAATAGATGCTTTTGGTGAGGTATCACAAAGAAATCAAGAATATGTCATTAGATACCAAAGAAAAGGTGATCCTTATTATGAAGGGGCAGAAAACTGCTGAACTGTGCTGTTCTGTTGGGTGGAAGCAGAATTTATGTGATCAATCAAGTTGGCTAAGTGATATGTAGCTAAGGAGATTTCTAAGCAACGTTAACAGTGTAGCCTGACTTTTTGCTGCTTATAGTAAAAAGCAACAAGGAAGAGATAAACTGAGAAAAGAACTGGCAGTAAAATTAGGAAAGTCAATGTTAAAGCTAAAAAATGATAAGATTTTGATAAATGCTATGGTTGGACAACTTTTCACTGAAGAGATTAAATATGTGACCAGGATGGGGATTTAGCTCAGCAGTTTGGTGGCCTGCCCTGCAAGCGCAAGGACCCGAGTTCAATCCCTGGTACCAAAAAAAAAAAAAAAAAAAAAAAAAAAAAAAAAAAAAAAAAAAAAAAATGTGACTAATTGAAAAGAAGCCTTATAAAAGAAATTGAGCATTTCATCAGAAACCATAAACCAAGTAAGATTAATCCAGAAAAGATCTATGAATAACACTAGTTTAAAGGCATGGATCCCTGTAACAAACACAGGAGACTCACAATGATTTTGAGATTATACCAATGCAATTAAAGCCAGCCTAGTTGAAAAGTGACAGAAACTGGACAAAATAAAGGAAAGTTGTCAGACTTTGAGGATTACAAGCAGGATGTGTTCTGGCAGAACTACTTGGCTTTTATATGGGCTAAGTAAAAGAAGAGAAGGATGGCTTAAAAGGCAGAGCTGCAGACCCAGAGAGAGCAGCCCTGGTCCCAGAAGGTAGAACATCAAGCCACTGAGCATTACTGTCAGGATTCAAAATTTAATGGAATTTGTTTTGCTGGGTTTTGAACTTGATTAGGATTGGTCACTTTTTTTTTTTCTCCTTCCTCACCCACAATTACATTTTGTAACAAATAATGTTTTTTAAGGTTTATAGGTCCACAGATGGAGATTAGTTTTGTCCCAGCATAGATCATACTCAATACCTAATCCATTTGTGATGTAGATGACTGAAATGAGAGTTAAGGCTTTTAATATGATGATATTTAAATGACATTTTGGACTGTGCTGATGCTATACTAAGTTAAGATATTTGGCAATCTTAGGATGGAGTGAATATCTTTTGCCCATGATAGAAGCATGAAACTTTATTTGCCAAGAGCAGACTACGGTAGCCTGAATACTGGCCCCCAAAACATATGGGGAAGTTGTAAATCCTGGTCCCTGTCTATGTTACTTTACTTGGAAATCAAGACTTTAAAAAAAAATTTAATTTAAGAATTTCAAGATCATCCTGGATTTAGGGCATGCCCTAAATAACTAACATTCTCATAAAAGAGATAAGAGAGAGAGATGTGACACATAAGCAGATGGGAAGGTTATGCTCAGATGAAAGCAGAGATGAGAGTAACGCATGGACAACAAGAAGCCAAATGCTCCCAACAGCCATCACAAGATGAAAGACAAAGGCTATTTTCTGAGCATTTTCAGAGGGATCATAATGGCCCTGCCTACTACTTAATTTTGAAGCTTTTGTTTTGAGAACTTCAGCCACCAGCCAGACATGGCAGGACATATAGTTCCAACTACCTGGGTGGCTGAAGCATAAAGACCGGAAGTTTGAGGCCAGCCTGGAAACCCAGTGAGACTATTCTCAAGGTTTTTTTTAAAAAAAGGGCTTGGGATATAGCTCAGTGCTCCCTGGGTTCAATCCCCAGCACTGCAAGCAAGCCTGCAAGCAAACAAACAACAAAAGCCACAGAACTGCAGCCACCCAGTTTGAGATAATTTGTTATAGCAGCCAAAGGAAGCAATGCACTGCGTAAAAGGTATACTGGAATCTCTTGTACTACTTTTGCCACTTTTCTGTAAAGATGAAATCATGTTAAAATAAAAAATTTAATTTAATAATATCTTCAGTAAAAGTCCCTAGGTAATCTACCGCCTGCCATTCACAAATGAAATCATTTTACTCTATGTCCTGTATTAAAGAGAAATTTTTAAATACCTCCTACATGACTCTGTGAAATTTACCATAAAAAAAAGTAGCATGAGAATTTTGAGTTGGTTTTGCTGCTAGTTTGAATGTTTGTGTTTCTCTGAAATTCACGTTGAAATGTGATCTCAACAAACAGTATTAAGAGGTAGGGTATTTAGAAGATGACGAGGCCATGAGGATGCTATCCCAGTGGATAGGATCAGTGTCTTATGGGGTAGAGGAAACTAGCCAGGTCATTTTATGCCTGTCTGCCTTCTACTACATGAGGATGCAACAACAAAGCACCATCTTGGAAGCACACAGCAGTCCTTGTCACATACCACCTGCAGATAGGTACCTTGATCTTCAGCTTCCCAGTCTCCAGCACTGAGAAAATTATTTCTATTATTTATAATTTACCTAGCTTCAGGTATTTTACAGCAGTAAGAACTACAAATTACAAACTTACAAGAACTTGATTCAATGGGAAAATTACTTATCATAATTTAAAATATGCTTTATTTTACTTACCAACTGTTTTTCACTCACAGGAGATGGGGGTAGGGGAATTATTTCTTCTGAAGTAGGACGCCAGGTCAGGAGCCTTTAAGATACCAAAATCACTAGTTACCAGATATGCCATATCCCATATCCAACATATTTTGAAATAGTCACAAAAGGTCACCAGACTGTATGTTGACTATATATACTTCACCTTTCACTACCGCTAAAAGCAATTTGCTGAAAAAAAAAATCTAGTAAAAAGTTTAAGATATGTGCTTCTAGAACACAGTAAAGAAACATTTTCTATAGTAATATTTTGGTTCATGAACTTAACTCTTTCCACAATTCTGGTTGAAAGCCAAAATGGATGAGAACCTAATCAAATTTCTCCATAAGGTTGAACTTCACCAATGAATTTGATTTGGTTCTTATTCAATTTGTTTGCCACTAGAATCATGGAAACAATTAAGTTCATTAACCAAGGGACCACTATGATTAGAAGGATAATCTTGTCATTAGTTTTACAGTAAAATACACTTTCTGAAAAATTTCCAAAACTTTAAACCTTTTTCTAAGCTTTCATGTTTTCAAAAGATTAAAAAAAAGTTTTGAGTTAAAAATATTCACAAAATTAAAAAAATCAATTCATAACTCTTTAGATTCTATTTTTTTTTGTTTGTTTTGCACTACTGGGGATTGAACTCAGGACCTTGTGCTTGCAAGGCAGGTAGGGTGCCACTGAGCTAAATCCCAGAACCCTTCTTCAGATTCTAAACAGGTATAAAAATATGTAAAGCAACATTTAGCCCCACAGAGAAATTAACCTGCCACCCTGGGCCAAGTTGTTTCTGAGAAGCAGAAGCTCTGGGGCAACGGGGCAGATAGACACCACATAGATCATTCCAGTTCAATATGAAATGTGTAGTGATATTCAAGTACTTTCTATCACAGACATCACCTAGAAAGAGATGTTTACTAGATGATAATTAAGTTTACATGTATTGTCCCATGTGTGTAACTCATTAAAACAAATACAGATTTTATAAAAAAATGAATGCTTGGCCTAGTTGGTTTTGGGAAGATTTCATAAGGATAACTGGATACCTGGGAGGCAAGAATTCAGTCTTTGACATAAGGGTCATAGATAAACTCTGACATATGTGTGTTATTTGTTAGTTATAATGCCCTGACATCAGAAAATGTAAGAATCTGTAAATAGATCAAAGAGATAGCTGTTGTGCCCTTTCAGTGTAGAGACTTTTTCTAAGGGTATATTGCTTCTGGTTGACTTCCATTGTGTGTGTGTGTGTGCGTGCACGCGCATGCACATGGTAAGGGAAACTGAACCCACGGCTTCATATATAATACTTCTAAGCTATATTCCCAGCCCTTTTTTATTTTGTTTTGAAACAAGGTCTCACTAAATTGTCCATGATACTCTTGAACTTGTGATCCTGCCTCAGCCTGGGATTACTCAGTATATGCCACCATGTCTGGGTCCTATTTATTATTGATGATTCTTGTTAGGCAACATTTAACTCATATCAAAAAAAGGCATTGCCTGTCTTGCAATCACAAGGTCCTGAGTTCAATCCCTGGTACCAAAAAAAGAAAGAAAGAAAGAAAGAGTTTATGAAGCTTAAAAATCTGGACTAATTAATTTTCACATATGGTTTAATGTTAGCATACACCCACGTGTCTACTTACTAAGATGTTTCAAGAACGAGTCAATCTGTAGAGTTAAAATTATGGGTATTAGACAAAACTATGTAGAGATCATCCATCCCCAGGGTTGATCTAAGCAGTAATTTCCAGTCTGTCCTACCAATAATTCAAATGCAATCAGAGTCATTTAGACAAACTATCTCTTAATTTCTCCAATATGAAAAATGTATATAATATAAAAAAGTATAAAGTTATAAAAATCTTACGCATGTGGGATTGTGGTTTTGAAGATATCCAGTGTGCAGTTACAAGTTTTATCCCAGATTTCTAGGGTAAATTTTTCACCATTCAGAATAACAACATTCTCTAAGCAATTTGTACCAGATCGTGCTAACTGCTCATTGTCTAGAAAAGAAAAGAGCAATTTAGTGATATATTACAGTCACACTTTGTGTCACATAGCTAGTAGAGACCTACCTTGCTGCACACACCAGTAGAGCTGGGCAAAAATATCATCCAAAAGCACATCACTGAGTACTTCTAAATATTGGGTAAATACATCACAGATCGCATAAAGTGCATGATTACAAGTTGTTGTCATCCATTCAGCTTTCTGGGGGAAAAGAAAGTCATTAAATTAAGATCATACCATTCATCAATTACAACAATTGAAAGAGAAATGCATTTGAACATTTAAAACATTAAGACTGTGTTCCTTTGAGAGTACTTTCTATAGAACAGTGTATTCACCAACTTAATATTTGATGTTGATTTAGCTATTTTCTGTACTATTTGACTGTCAAAAAAAAACTACAGCACCTTCATATTAACACTGTGATTTTTGAAACAATATTATGAATAATAACAGCTGACTTTGCTTTAGATATGACAGAACAAGGAAATATGAAGACAAATTTAAATCTTACTCAAGTGGGATTAGCACAAATTTGAAAAAAAAATGACTCTTCAAATATGGTTATTTCAAAACACTGTTAAGAAAGGTTAAATAAAATAAGTATAAGTAATTTCATTTTTTTTCAAACACATAAAGGACAATCGCAGAACTCTGCATTTAATTATGCTAGATAGACAAAAGGGTAAATCTGAAGTGCTCTCTCCACACTGCCTGAAATACATAACTGGTCTGTAGTAAAACACACTAAAATTAAAAGGTACATTCTACTTTGTATTCTTAATTCAGAATAAGAAGTCAACTATATAATACTAAGTAAATGGTATTTTATAGTTCTGACATTTCCATATGCTAAATGAAAATTGTGTTCTCTTACCTCTGTTTGCTGTTCTGGCAATTTCATATTGTCAAAGATTCTGAAAACAATTCTAAATAAATCTTGCCACCAGTGTTTTTCGTATGTGTGGCCATATGTTTTCATTATTTCAAACATTACTGTTAAACCCCTAAAATGACAAAAATATAATAGGAAAGCTACAATATAAAAGAATGTCCTTTTCCTAAGATAGTTTTACTTTTACAAAGCTACTAAAACAGAAAGTTTATAACTAGCCTTTAAGTAATACATCATGCCGGGTTTTGTTTAAGAATTTTAAGTTGTATAACAGGTTTCTTTAAAATACACCATTCAAGAATAAGTCCAAAGGATTTGGCCCTATGTTTGCTTTTTACTTTTATTCACACCACTCCAGCACTTTAAAACTAAATGATATTGCAGGTTGAAAAAAGATCATCATTTGCGTGAATATTAATTTTGTGGCAAGGAAGAAGTGCATTCACAGCAAGCTAAGAGCACAATTATATTTTGACGAATCTTTTTTCATATGGATATGGGAATTTTAAACTACCACTATAAACCTTGTATAATATTCCCACACAAAAAGATTTCTAAAATGAATCAACAAAAGTGTAAGGTCCATAAGGGAAGGGGTCTGCATTTGTTTTGTTTCCTGTTATATCCTATGGCTAAAAGGAGGGCTTATTACCTAGGCGGCAAACATTACATATTGTGGGAGAAACAAACTGTTCATTGCCTCCTTCATTCTTTTTCTTTCTTGAAGTAATACTTTCATAAAACCATTAAAAGTTTGACCTTTTCTCTATATGTTACATTTTTCAGGCAAAATATAGGCAACCTTCAATTTAGAAAAGGCTGTTTCCAGAAAAGTCTGTTTTAACTAGAAGAAAATTTTCTCTTAAAGATTTTATAAAAACTGGTACACAGTCTAGCTCACTTGCTGCTGTGCTAATCTAGGCTTAGTACATAATCGGTAGGTAACAGCTTTCTTCTTTTTGGAGACAGGGTCTCGCTGTTGTAGTTCAGACTGGCTCTGAACTTACTATGTAGCCAATGCTGGCCTCTGACTCATGAAGATCTTCTTGCCTCAGCCTCCAAAGTGCTGGGATGACAGGTATCATAGGATCTTAACAAATGTTTTCCATGTGAATGTGCAAAACAACATTACAGGATATTTAGTCCTATTTTAAATTTACAACAGTCTATTTTATCCTCATAACACCCAATGTAGAATATAAGCAATAGCAGACATTGTAGCAGACACTTGTCAGAGTTCTGCCACTGGAGGATATATTCAGTTTCCCCCCTTACACTGAGATATATATGGTTCTTCTTCTGCCATTTGCTGACCTCAAAGTCCATTCCTTCCTATTGTAACAGGAAGACTGAAGACAGATAAGGAGATGTGTGCAATCCCTCTATACTCCCATCCTTAGCTTCAAAGCAAACAAAGAAATCAAGTCTACAGAGACTTTTACTGTTGCTGTTTTTATAATGCAATACCTGAGTAGCTAGTGTAGAGGAAAAAATAATTGGGTGGGCACGCTAGGCTAATTATTTAACTCCAAATCTACAGAATTTGAGGGGTCAAATGAGAATGAATGTAAAAGTTCTTCGTAATTATGGTGTTACACAAATTATGGTTGCATTTTAAAATGTAATTTAAATAATAGCCCACGCAAATCCTGAGGTGAGGTAAGAAAAATCAAAGGTCATCACTAAGGAAAGTTCACAGACAGTTTCTTTCTCCTCTACTAACTCGAACACATACCTACAGTAACTCTTTCTATAAGAACTAAAACCCACCCATACTATGAACATGGGATATGATTAAGAAGCAAAGAATCACGGAGATAGGGCAAAGATTGGCTAAAGAAGTAGATAGGTACTCCATCAAAAAGATTTCTACAAATAAATAAATAAGTTATGTGGCTGGACATTTTAATCAGGGCTGTCTTTAACAAGTTCCTACTAGGTTCCTACTGCTAAACAATCTACCATGCCTAAATACAAAATAAAATAAAATGTTTTATAATGTCCTTGTAATTACTGAGTTTTAGGACAAATCCCTAAAAGTCTGAGTTTGATTTTAGATTATTTAGCCACTTCATAAGAAGCTCTGTTATAAGAAATAGTGTCTTAGCTCATAACTCAAATTTAACCTTATGGCTCTGACATTTCTATCATTGCCTTGGTGCAATTCTGTGCTACATTTATAATTTAAAAAAAGTTTAAGAAATTAGTTGAAAGGGGGATTGCATAATATAAAATCAAACTCAGGATAGGCTTAAATATTTGTTGAGATATATTAGGACATACAAACTGGCCATTTCATATGGGAGTCAAAAAGTACAGGATAAGAAAAACTGTAACACTTGTCCAATTACATAATATATGTAAGAGTTCCTTTATAAATGGACTAAATATGTTCATATAGCTCTTTTATAGGGAATAGTTTCCTTTTTACGGGGTACAGTACTGAGGATTGAACCCAGTGCCTTCACACTGAGCTGTATCTCCAGCCCCTTTTAATTTTTTTTTTTTCCTTTTGAGACAGGGCCTTATTAAGTTGCTAAACTGCCCAGGATGGACTTTAATTTGCAATCCTCCTGTCTCAGTTTCTCAGAGTGCTGGGATTATAGACACGCACCACCAAAAACATTGCTGGGAATACATTTTTGAAAGTTTTCTAAATAGATTGTTTTTACTCAAAATTATGTTATTGACCATATTTAAATTGTTTTTATTCAGAACTACCAAGTATATACATTTAAAAACTATATCTTTTAATAAGAAATGAATTTTGCCACTAACCTGTTTCAATGTATGAAGAAACAGTGTTTAAAGTATTAAATTAAATTAGAAGCTAATCAAGAGTAAATAATCAAGTTTTAAGGAAAGTTATTTATTTCATTTTGCTCTATTTAATAAAATAATATTAATATACTTTGCAATCTGCCTAGTAATTACCACATTCGATGTATCACATACTGTATGGTATTTTACCAAGAACTTTTGTTAAAGTCAAAATACATCCTTCAAAACTTGAATTTCAAATACTGATTGTTACCTGGTTCTTACATCTAATTTGCATCTATTGATGATACAGGACAACTCAAAGAGAATTGGGAACCATCCTCTCACCCACACCCTATCTTCAGGTGCCACATTCATATCATCACTTGTGTATTCCTTGAAAGCCTTCAAGAAGAAAGGTAGAATTATTAAAGGCAAAACAAAATGCTTGCATATTCAGTGTATTATTTCTCAAGAAAAAAACTGTAAATGCTTTATCCATCAAAAGCAAGCAATTCAATCACAGTAATTTATAAAAAGATGAAGACTATAACTGTCTATGAAGAACACTGAACTAAATAAAATCCAAAAATTAGCTTTACTGCCACCAGCTCTTTGCAATATTAACCGTTAAGTCCAAGTTCCCATTTATCATTTAAATAATTCTGATAGCACACACATATATTTTCCATTCTGGGAAGGTGGTCAAATGAACTGATGTATGAAAAAGTACTAGGTATTCCATAAGTCTGTTTTAGCATATAGTAAAATTCTCTTGCCAAATCTATGATGTATCACTTTTCCTTATGAGAGTTACAAGGAAAAATTCAGATATTTAAGTTAAAATTAGCAGCCAGATTTTCAAGTTAACCTTTTATTTTAGAGCATAAGCCTACACTAAAGTATAGTCAGTTTACGTCAGTGCTGCAGAACACAGGCAAATAAGCAGCAGTATAGGGAACGATTAAAAACAAGGATCTAGGGTTTAAATCTTGGCTCTTCTTTACCAGCCCTGCAACTAGGGGAACATTTTAAAACTTCTCTGTGCCTTACTTTCCTTATTTTGTGTAGTAGTATAACACTAGCTGTCCAATTAAGTTGTAATAAAGATTGAACAAGTGAATACATGTGAAACACCCCGAAAAATGCCTGACAACTTTAATAATGACTACTTATAATTGCTAATCATCATAATTCAGAATCAAGTCCAGACTATTTTTGGGTTCACTGAAAATAAATGCTTCTATGTCCTCAATTCCAAACAAATTTGGATTTCAGGTTAGAAATAAAATAAATACTCAGCAAAATTTTGTTTACTAAATGATGCTATACCTGAGGTCTATCAGACACATATTTTGCACAATGGCGAATAAGTCGAATTGCTTCCATACTTGTGTCAGGAAAAGCTGCATTGCACGCAAATTCAGACAAACACTTCACTGCATCCTGGAAAGAATCAATGGTCGCTGGAAAGTGTTTTTCAAATACAAGGGCTAAAACAGAGAAAAATTTATCAGCATAACTAAAAATTTTCAATTATAGTCAAAATATGTCAGCCTCTAGATGTAATGCACATTCCTCATAGGTTATTAAGGGCTACGATGTCCAACAAATAGGAAGTTCAAGCCTATCTCTATCACTCACCTGCTTGTCCTAGGTAGTGAGGCAAGTGTAACATGAACATTTTATTTATCTAGAAACACCTATAAAGTAACTGGTACACAGTGGTACTGAATCAACTTTGTTGAATAAATAAAATTATTTATCCTCTCTGTATCTGTTTCTTAATCCATAAAATGGAGATAACACACATAAGATAGTTGTAAGCACTATGCAAATATTGTTAAGTCCTTAAAATAATATCTCAAGAACAATAAATGACAGCCATCAGGATGTCATGACTTCTGATGTTGATGCTGGTCATCACTACCAACTTCTACACAGGATTAATTTATATACTTAGTACTTCAGACTCCTTAAAAGTCAAAGGTGTCAGTACAATGCAGAGATGGGAAAAAAAAAAAAAACAACTAAAGCTTGGCCTTATGACTTCCTGCCTTTAAATATCACCATTAATTCTAAGATGTGAGGGAAATTACTTAATCTCTCTGGGCCAATTTCCTAATCTATTTTTTAAAGGAGGGTTAATAAAAAGTTGTGAATATAAAAGAAAATATGTAAAAAATGCTTATTGTGCATGCCATGTAGTAAACCCTCAATAAATATCATCTATAGTAATGATACCATTTGTCACTATGGATCTATAGGCAATATTTGGTAAATTTAACCCTATAATCTTAATGTACTCAAATTACCATCTGAACATTTTTTTTGTTTTTTTTTTTACTTGAATACAGTTAGAAGACTACTCACTGACAATGTGCCCTGTTGTTTGAAATGCAAGTTCCACAATGCTTTCATCTTGATCAGATGCTGCTAGATGAAATACAGAGAAAATGTTCTTCCATCCAGACCGAATGTTAGCAGCTTGAGAATTAACCATCTGTGCTATACACCGTACAACCATATCTCGAATTGTTGGAGACCTAAAATATTAATATAATTGCTTGGATATGCATACAGATAAAATTCTCCAGGTACTCCTCCCTATTTTTTCCTCTGCCATGGAAAATAATAAGGTTTTACTGATATTAAGCCATTCAACAAACATAATACCTGTTCCGTTTCATTATATGTTCAAAAGGTCTTAAGAAATCCTTCTGGAATCTGAAATTTGCAAGCTCCCCTTTCTCTAAAAACTTCATTGACAACTGCCTCAAGGAGTCTACTGCAAAAATAGCTACATCTTCATTAGGATTACAGCCAACCTGTAATGGCAACAAAATAATGAGATACTAATGTCAGTGGTTGGAAATCTACAATTCTTTATTTTTGTCTTAGAAAAAAATATAAAATTAGCACAGGTAGGAAAATCCTATGATTCTTCTTGAAGGCACTAGATAAGTTAAAAATACTTCTGAACAAAGATATAAATACTTCAAATTCTTAAAACCATGAGTAGTCTTTTTTAAAGAATAGAACATACAGGGTTTCCAAATTATGAAAAAGAACACAATTCCTTGAGAGGAAAAACTGCTTCAATTAGACAAGGAAATTTTAAACATGGAAAAACATAAATGTAAACAAATACTATATTTATTCAAATACCTTATTAAAATGATCTCCAATAACTTCCCAAATCCGAGACCACTGCAATCTTATTCTTCCCATGTTGTAGTACGATATTTCTACTATCTTTTGCAGACTAAACATTCTTGGGTGTGTAGTAGAAAGCAATTCATCCATAGACACAGCACAGAGCCAACGGACAAAATCCACTATAACATAAATACATTTAGTTTTTTCAGCTTTAAAGTTTTTTTAGCCAAAGGCCAGTGTGTAAAAAGAATAAATATACACACTTACCAATAGCATTTCCATCTAGCCTTGTAGATCCTGTAAATATTCTAGGGAAAATAAAATACGTTTTGAAAATTTATAGTCTTATTTCTGTTATGTTAATTCAAAAGAAAATGGCCTGAGGTATGACCGTTTTATCTGTTTTAAGTAAACAAAAAAATCAGGCAGTCGAATGATTTTCATTATATAGTTCAATAAAAAGAATACTGTAGTCTGAATGCCTCTCCCTTCCATATCCAAATGTATCACTTTGTATTCAATGTTAACAGAGTAAAAGTGTATACTCTCCTAATTTCACTAGTAGACATACAGATATCAGACCATACAACAGTTTAGAAGGAGGAAAACATTAATTTGCAAAACCAATGAATCAGTATAAGACTCTTCAATTTTTTCCTATGTATTAACATTAAGCAAGTTTTAAAAAAATTAATCTTTATAAAAGTAATGTATATTTGATTAGAAAATTCACTTATAGTTAATTAAAAGTGATTTGATATAAACTTGCAAATGGTCTCAATTTAACCAAGTGGCTAAACCACTTCCCTTACGATATTCAAATGTTTAACGATAGTCAAATGTTTAAAGTTAAGCTACACTAACCAGTTTTGGCTAGCTTTCTTCGCAGACCTTTATCTGTTTCAGTTTCATTAAAAAATTCAGCATACACATATTCTCTCTCTCTTTTTTTTTTTTTTGGAGCCAGGGTCTTCATATGTAGTTCAGGCTGGCTTTACATTCACTATGTAGCCCAGGATGGCCTCAAACTCTGGGCAATCCTCTTGCCTCAGCCTCCTGAGTGCTACGATTACAGGCATGTGCTACCATGCCAAGCTCTTTCTTTTTTAAAGTCTGCATTTTTAACCCACATTGGAGGTTTGTAAGCCAAGGGTTTGATTTGAGTAAACCTTCACAGGGTACACAATATTCCTCAATGTAAAATGCATACAACAGGATTTGCATGATAAAAAGGAAAACATAAAGCAGGAGGTCAAATGGTAAACTTAGTAATAAAAGAAGTAGCTACCAATTGTACTATTATTCTATGTGCTTTACATATGTCTATTTAATAATAAAAAATATACTGGGAAGTATGTACTGTTATAACCCTAGTTTTATAAAAATAGAAACTGAGACACAATGATATTTAATAACTTCTTCAAAATCACAGAACTAGTAAGTGCCAGAACCAAGATTCAAATATGGACAGTCTAACTAACCTCTTAATCACTTTTCTACATTGTTCCATACTTACCTGAACAAAACATGCTCTGAACATTTGAAATATATTTTAAAGAGCAAAATAAAAGATAATAGAAGTAGGGAGACAGATGTTTCTCAAATAGGAATGGGACCAAGAGATGGAGAAAGGTAGGAGGAGGAGGAGGGAAAAAGGGATGAAAAAGGAATTAAGGTGTGTTATATACATGTATCAACTCTCCACAAGGAATGTAAACACTATGTACTGCAAATATTTACATGTACAAAGAATGTATGTGTTGAGGAAAGAAAAAAGAATGTATGTGTGTGTTTGTTTGTATATTTCTGTGTTTCCAGTTTTTCCCTACTACCACAGTCTGAATGTTCTTATATTTTTTTTAACCTCAGTGTCCTTGTGTGTCTTCTGGCAATAAGTAACACAGATAAGACGGGAAATTCAAAATCTGAACTCCTGCCAAAGAAAATCTTAAGATTTTCAGTATTGTTCTTCTTGGTAGAACAGAGCAACAATTTAAAAATCTGCAAAAAACACTACCTGGGAAGAAAATCCAGAGTAAGGTCCCATTTACTCCAGTGGCAGAATGGACTCAGAAATTTAACATATAAAAGCTCTCACATGAACAAAAATGAAAACTGTAGCCTAAACTATACAAATGTGATCAACTGCTCTCAAACTAGAGGTATTCTCACGGAAAGCAAAGGCTATAAAGAAAACCACACCACAGATGGAGTTAACATTAAAAGTACAAGAGAAGTAACAAGAAAAGGCACAAAAAATTTATTTTTAACTGAGAACAAAGCAAATGGCAACTGTAGAAGAGTAAAGAACAGAAGTAGAAGTAGAGATTATACACAACCACAGGGAAAGGAAGCAACAGATTCTGAAGGCCATGAAATGGTAGAGAACAAAGGTAAGAAAGACCAAGAATTACCATCAGCAGCAGTGAGAAAGGCCTGTAGGTTCCTGTGGAAGGTATAACCATGTATCCTGGGTAAGGGCATTTAAATTCCTCCTAACTTTGGCAGCCTCTGAGGGATCACTCATTTCTAGCAAGACTCTACTAAAGATAAGCCATGAGGGAAAACACAGCAGTCTGTGGAGGTTTGTAAAGTTTAGCAATAATATGCTAAGGAAGGAGAAAAGAATTAGGTTTCACAGACTCAGTCTATGAAATGGATTCTACATTCTCAGTATAAAAAACAAAGAACAAAAGCATGAAAAGTCATATTTGCTAATATTAAAACAGGGCCGAAAAAAGCATATGGAGATAAAAAAAAATTGGTAAGATTACTGCTTCATCCATATCATAACACCAATGCAAAAGAAATGCTGGCAAAAAAATTTTTTTTAGAAATAAACTTTTAAACTATGTATCAAGCCAATGACCTGATTCCTATAACTATAAATGGTTTACTGTAGGTGACATTTATTTCTCAGGATTAACTCAAAGATTTTTATAAACAAAACCAATTGGGATAAACTATGTATTTCCTGATAGGTGACAGAATGTCCCAAAGTGTAAGATGGGCTTCTGTAAGTTAGCTCTAGTATTTTTAAACAATTAATAAAAACAAAAACTATAATGATAAGTAACTTTTTTAGCTTTTAGAAGTAAATCATTCTTGGACAAATTCTATCCCCTACAGTTTAGCAACACTTATGAAACAGGTCTAGTTTAACAATACCTAGAAACTTCTGTCTGCCTTTGCAATGCCAGAGGATCAGGTACTACCAAATTAATGTGTTTTAGTAGTCTCCTAAATTCTAATTTTCAACCTGTGGACATCTGGGAAAAGGTAATCTTTTTTTTTTTTCTTTTGGGTTTTTTGAGATAGGGTCTTACTATGTGGTTGAGACTGACCTGGAACTCACTATGTAGCTCAGGCTGGTCTCGAACTCACAGTGATCCTCCTTGTCTCAGTGCTGGGATTACAGGCATGCAACAGCATGCCTGGCTGGAAAAGGTAATCTTAGAGGAATTCTAGAAGATAAGGTTTTACATGCCAGGCATTTAACAATCTGAAATACTCTACAGAACATTTTCCTTTAGAAAATAATTGCACTGGGGAATTCTTGGTAATGTATGTAACACATAAATTCTAAAGTCCTTTCCAAAGGAGTTTATAAGAATCTCCAGCAAACACCATTTTATGCATAATATAGTTATGTACCTTATATTCAGAAAGATAACATTACACTGTACTTTCAAAGACTGATAATAAGGAGAGCAAGTTTTCTATAAAGGAAATAAAAGGTAACATAATATAGTTATGTACCTTATATTCAGAAAGATAACATTTACACTGTACTTTCAAAGACTGATAATAAGGAGAGCAAGTTTTCTATAAAGGAAATAAAAGGTTTATTTGTGTACGGTTTTGTTTTGTTGTTTTTGATACAGGGTCTCATTACGTACTTCAGGCTGGCCTTGAACTATGTAGCCCAGGCAGATCTTGAACTAGTGGTGATCCTCCTGTCTTAGTTTCCTGAATGCTGGGATTATAGGTGAGCCACCACAAAGAACACTTATTTTTGTCTTTTAAATTTTAATTAGTACATGTTTGCAGTACATGATTACCTTCTTGTTGATGAATTAGTACATGCACATAACACATCTTAATTGCCTTTACTTTCCCTTTCCCACTGTTATCCCTCTATCTCTTAGCCCTCTTTTCATTTATAAAATATCTATCCCATTTCCTACTATCTTTTATTCTTTTTACTTATACTTTGGGTTTCTGATATAAGAGTAAACGTGATACTTAAAGGTGTGTCTGATTTATTTCACTTATTTCATTTATTTCACTTAATTATCATCTCAAAGTGCATCCATCTTCCTACAAACAACTCAAATCTATCGTTCTTCATAGCAAAGTAGTACTCTAATGTGTATAAATACCACGTTTCCTTTATCTGCTCATCTGCTGATGGACATATAGGCCACTTCCAAGATTTAGCTATTAAGCCGTGCTGTTATAAACTATAAGTACACATGTTATCACTGTAAAAAGAAACCTAGAAGGGCAATGGTTGGGTCTAATGGAATTTCTACTTTCAGTGTTTTGAGGAATCTCCATACCGCTTTCCATAGTGACTGTACAAATTTACATTCCCAATAACAATGCAGAAGGGTTCTTTTTACCCTGTATCCTTGTCAGCATTTATTATTACTTAATTTCTTGATGACAGCCATTCTTTCTGGAGCAAGACAGAATTTCAGTGTTGTTTTAAATTGTATTTCTTTAATAGCTAGAGATGTTCTACATTTCTTCATTATTTATTGGCCTTTTGTACTTACGAGAAGTGTCTATTCATTTCAGTTGTTCAGTTTTTGACTAGGTCTTTTGAGAGAGTCTAATTCTTTTGTTCTTCATATACTATAGTTATTAGTACTCTGTGGCATTAGTAATTTATTCCCATTCTTCAGGTTGCTCTCGACTCTGTTGTCATTTCCTTTGCTGTCCAGAAGCTTTTTAATTTCATATGATCCCATTAGGTGGCTTTTATTTTTCTAAGTTTATTGGCACATTTTAGGTATACAGTACAGGTACATTTACCATGGCAATCTTGTACCTTTACATGATGTAATTGGCCCACGATGTTACTTCTTGTGCAACTGGGGTTCTATTCACAAAGTCCTTGCCTACACCTATGTCTTCAAGAGTTGTAACTGCTTTATCCTTCAAATGATCCTTTCTCTTCTAATATGTAGATCTTTGATCTACCTTTAGTTTAGTACATGTTGAGAGACACAGGTGTAGATTCAATCATCTCCATGTGTATAGCCACTTTTCCCAGCACCGTTTGTTAAAGATGTTACCTTTTCTCTAGCATGTTTTTGATCTTTGTCAAACATTGGACGGCTCAATGTGCCTGGGGTTGATTCTGTAGCCTCTATTCTGTTCCATTAATCCACATATCTGATTTGTATCAGTACCATACTGTTTTAATCACTGTAGTCTTATAACATAACTTGAAATCCAAGATTGTGGAACTTCTTTGCTCTGTTCTCGTTGTCCAGAACTGCTTTTGCAACTGGTTCCATATGAATTTTAGGATTGTTTTCTCTAGTTCTATGTGAAATGTTGTTGGTATTTTCACTAGGGTTGCATTAAATTTACACATCAGTTTTGGCAAATGGCCATTCTGACATTACTAGCTCTGATTATCTAGGAACAGGGGTTATCTTTTCATTTTCTAATGTCCTCTTTAATCTCCATTTTCAGAATACTATAATTTTCATTACAGAGGTAATTTGCTTCATTTGTTAGGTTAATTTCTAAGTATTTAATTTTTCTTGAAGCTATTGTGAATAGTATTGTTTTCTTAATTTCTTTCTTGGTAGGTTCATTAATAGTGTGCAGGAATGCTACTCATTTCTGTGTGTTGATTTTGTACCTTGTGTTCTTTTTTTCAAAGTTTATCATTTCTCAAATGCTCTTTACTATTATAACTCAAATTTTCATATCATTTACTTCCTTCCAATATACCATGAACAAATCAATCAAAATTACAGCTACTTCATCATCTAAATCACAGTATATCATAATATAGTTTAGGAAAATTATTTTGAGAATATATTTTTTTCTTTTTACTAGTGATCAGTATATAGCTAGTGCTACAGAATTGGAACAGTAATCATCTGCAAAGGAAAGAAAATGTATACCTTACCTATCCACAGCAACAACAACACTTTGAGAACTGGTTTCTCCGATGGATTCCTGAATACTTGCAATCTGCTTCCAATCCACATTTCCTCCAACTACCATACATAAAAGTTATTTCAGTTAAAAAAAAAATTATATGAACAATACACTTAGTTTGAAAACACATTTCTTGTTCTTTTGTTTTTATTTTTTTGAGACAGGGTCTCACTATGTAGTTCAGGCTGCCTTGAATTCACTACGTAGCCCAGGCTAGCCTCAAACTTAAGGTGATCCTCCTGATCCAAGTGCTGGGATTACTGGCATGAGATACTACACCCAGCCTTAAAGCACATTTCTAAAATCAATCATGTTCCTAATAAGTGAAGAAAGGGTTTGAATGAACAATTATTTTCATATTGTTTATCAAGGACAAATGTGCTTACTGAGCAGTACACTAGGCTGTATACGAGACATGGTTATAGGGCACAAACTGTTCGCAAAGATCACATAAATTAGGGGTATTGCAAATTTAGATAAAATCAATGTTTAATTAACTTACCCTAGTTTCAATGATACCATCTGTGGATGATTCCAATTTCATATAATTAATATTTCTCAGTCATTTAATCTTTAATGCCCTAACTACAAATGCTTGCTGGCAACTCTACCTGTATGGTCTAACTTTCTCTTATTTAAAGTATCACTTATATTTCTCTCGATCTGTTCCCTAAGTCAGACAGGATCCCCTTCAACTAATTTGCACACCATCTATTCTACTCCATTCCTATTCAGTTCAGGCCCTCATATCTTACTTAGTCTTGGCTACTGATACAGTTCCCTGGCTTACTGTCCTGCCACTGTTTAGTCCTCTCTTTAGTATCTCTCTCACTCTCCTGCCAGCTACCACTCCAAAATCATTACCTTCATTTTGTTCACTGGGATAAAGTACAAGCACTTCAGCCCAGCATTGAAGGCACTTAGCTTCAATATTTCAACCAACATGTGTCTCTATTCATGTTCTCTCTCAACTATTAAAAACTTACCTACCAGATGCAATTTGATTCTCAATAAAGGATTCCTCTCCATTTTTCTTATCTCTGAACCAAGATTTTACTTAATAAGCATTACTCAAATCAAATTATTTTCACAGTTTCAAACAAATTATCTTATGTATGTTAATGTTGCCTTCTCACCTAGATAAAATGTCATATTCTCTAAGTAAACATCTATGTGACTAAGCTATTGAATTTCCAAATATTAATATTATCTTAGAATGGAATGCCTGTAATTCAAATTTTAAAATGATATACTATGTACTCAATAAACTTGCAAGTTTCTAAAAATAATTAAAGTATAGAATTTTATCACAGAAGAAAATATATAGTGAAGCTGCCCATTATTGGTGAGTTCTTTATCCATGATTTAACAAACCTGGGATCAAAAATATTTAGGAAGAAAGACTGCATTTTTAACTGAACATGTATAACTTCTTTCCTGTCATTATTGCCTAAACAAGTGTTCTGTTTACAGAGCATTTACATTGTAGTACATATTATTAAGTAGAGATGGTTTAAGTAGGACAGTATGTATAAGTTATATGCAAATACTATGCCACTCTACATAAATAACTTGAAAAGTCCTTGGATATTGGTATTTCCAGAAGTCCTGGAATCTATCCTACATAGATAGGTAAGGATGACTATATTCATTCTTTGTTACATGGAATATTTGGTATACAGATGCTGTAATTAAAGGAGAATATTGGTTCTAGCTGGCTCCACTGTCCATATCTTTTTCTAGCTTCAATTCTGACTATAGCATCCTGCTTGAGAAAGTTATCTGCTGTCTGGGTAGGTGGGAACAGATGGACACAGCAAGGCAGACGTCTTCCAAATGAGCTGGATGGTCAGCATCAAGACAGCCTGAAACATTGTAGTATATTATTAAGTAGAGATGGTTTAAGTAGGACAGTATGTATAGGTTATATGCAAATACTATGCCACTCTACATAAATAACTTGAAAAGTCCTTGGATAGTGGTATTTCCAGAAGTCCTGGAATCTATCCTACATAGATAGGTAAGGATGACTATATTCATTCTTTGTTACATGGAATATTTGGTATACAGATGCTGTAATTAAAGGAGAATATTGGTTCTAGCTGGCTCCACTGTCCATATCTTTTTCTAGCTTCAATTCTGACTATAGCATCCTGCTTGAGAAAGTTATCTGCTGTCTGGGTAGGTGGGAACAGATGGACACAGCAAGGCAGACGTCTTCCAAATGAGCTGGATGGTCAGCATCAAGACAGCCTGAAGGAGAGGCTCTGCACAATTGATGCTAACAGACTAGTTCCCTCAAGGGTCTAGACTCAAAATCAGAGTCTGATTGAAAAAAAAAAAAAAAAAATCAGCGTCTGATGAAGCCACAGGATTGAGAAGATTAAAAAGAAAAATAAGTAACATAAGAGAAAGCATAAATAAAAAGACGGAGTTCCAGAGTGGTCTGGAAGCTTGAACTGTTTTTATAAGTCAAGGTTTAAAAATGTGTCTTTATGTAAATCCCCTAACCCTTTCTTTCTGAAGGAAATACGAAGGTCATTTCATATTTTTGCAATCTAAGTAGCATAACAGCACAATGAATGAATTAATTTTAATTCATTTTAAGTATACCAGCAAATATCCTCATTTGACTAAAACTTTTAATAGATAAAAATATTTCACTGCCGTTTTGTTTAATTTAACCTCATCCTATAGTCCCACTCACCAAAATTGAGCCCATGCAATTAACATCTATTATTATTCTGGCCTTTCATACACTTACGCCTTTTGAAAGATAATCAGTGCATTCACTTCACTTGACTGTAAACAGTTTTTGTTGTATCTTATGTTACTTCATGAAGTAATTATAGTTCTTTTATAATATTTAGAGTTAAACTTCCACGTTATGTTAAGTCACCATGAAGGTGCTCAGGCAGTTCTCAATTTTGTTGCTGGATCATCTAGGAATTAGGTCTACACCTGCATCTCCTAGATCTCATGCTAACCCAACAGCTATGACTAAAAATGTTCAGTCTTTAACTTTTTTATATCTATTTTTGCTAGTATTTTCCTTTCTTCTACCAGACTGAACCTGGTAATTCCTGGCCATTAAGTGCAGTAGGGGAACTTTGGGGATAGGTTCTGCACTGACGGAAGAGTTTGTGTAGGCCTGTGGTGTCTTTAAAAAACTGTGAATGTGAAAGCTTCCTCCAGTTGCCCCCACTAGACCTGTTATATAAGCCTTCACACATTTGTCTACTTAAGTCTTAAGACAGGTAATTCATTTGCAACCTTTTCCCAGTCTCAAGTAGGGTACTGAGAGTAAAGGTCATTTAATATTGTGAGCCTGACTAGACTCCTTTTCCTACTTATTTATCTTGCTTTTCTTTATAAGGTTGGATGAAGGGCATTTAATCAAATTATATTTCATTGGTACAATAAAGTGATTTATAATAAAGAGGTTAATAATGACTTTTGCTATTTTTTAAAAAGAATTTAAAAATTCTCACCTAGCCCCAGGCCCACAAATTCATCAGGAGCCTGATCTTTTGTCCCAGTAAGAGATCCTTCTCTCCCTCTCACTGTTCCCGAAATGTATCGAGGTTTCACTCCAGTTCCTATAAGTTGTGCCAGCTCCAACTGACTGATGCACTTTAGAATCTTAATCATAAAAAGGAAAAAAAAAATTTTTAAAATAATATCCTCAAAAATATGTAAACACATGAACTTAGGATTTAAACACTGATTACAATACAAACCACTATAAAAAGTTGAAAGTACATAAAATGTACCAAATTAATTTTCCCCACTAATCCATATCAATGATACAATCAATATTTAGCATTACCTCATTTTATAAACCAAAGAAAAAAACTGAAAAAAAAAAGTTTGTACCTCATGCCATGAATTCCCTAAATAATTTCCATCTGTATGAGCCACCGTGATAAGTGTTTTTATTGTGTCAATATTCTTTTGCTTCATTTCGGTAATACCAGAACTCACTGTAAGTAAAGTAAATCTTGCTAGTGCCTGGACATATGCATCTCTTTCCAGCTACCAAAAAGAGGAGGGAGGGAGGGAAAGAGGGAAGAAGGGAAAAACAGAAAAATCTATTTACATGGCTGTAAATATAGTAGATTGATCTAATTCCTTACTGACAAAGTTGTTTATTTAGTAAGTTTTTAACTGACATGTCATGAATTGTATACAGTACTGTAAAATACATTTTTAATTTTTAATTGATTGTGCAGAAAACATAAATATCTAAAATCTTAAAGCAATGGAGATTCCAATTCAGGCTGATATTTTAGTGGTAACAAATTCAAACGTTTCTGAACACCTATCAAGTACAATGCAAAAGTACTAGTAAAAACTGCTCTTTTTCTCTTCCATAGGCTGTATTTTGTTATGTACTAAGCTATAACATTCATGTTTAAATAGGAAATAAGCTTTAAAAAAAAGAAAGAAAAAGCTGGGCATGGTGGCACACGCCTAATAATCCCAGCACTCAAGAGGCTGAGGCAGGAGGATAGCCGTGAGTCTGAGACCAGCCTGGGCTACATAGTGAGTTCCAGGTCAGTCTCAACTACATAGTAAGACCCTATCTCAAAAAAGCAAAACAAACAAA